GCCCGCCCGCCATCCAGCCTCTGCACCACCCGCCCGCCCGCGAGCCTGCCTGCCTGTTCGCTCCTGCACTTCAGCTAATTGCGACGCAGGTAGTTATACTAATAGGTGTGTAATGACACCAAAGCTTCGCGTTTCCACGTGTCTGGTTGAAAGTTTACCCGCGCCGCTGCTAAAATAACGAAAATATATCATACGCAAACTCTGGAATATATTGCACCACCGCGAAATGTCACGGCTTGGTGCGCGAGAAGCGCGCTCACGCTGGGCGTGGTAATGGCGTGCAAAGTTCGACGCGCCGTGCAAAAATAATTTCTCAGAGGAACAGTGTCAACTTTACTCTTCATATATCTCACCTAGGTCGATACAAAGATGACGGCTGCTCAAGCTTACAATATCACGAACAAAACATTCAATTGCGTTTCTTAACGAAAATATAAATCTTTTTTGAGCATTCAAGGCGGGATTTAATGAAACGATCATTCTGAATTTGAATTTATTATGAGTTCGACCCTCTTTCAGTTTCGATGTTCTACCTTCTAATTGTTCCCTCCCAAGTACGTCAATTGCTCAAACCCCAGTTACACTTTCTCAGAACACTAAAATTACACTTTCTAAGAACAGAGATGCGGTATTTAGAAACTATATTAGTTCAGTAATTTGTGACTTCCCTACAGTGAATAGGCAAATGATGAACTTTAGCAAGCGCGAAAACGCAAACATTAAATTTTCAAATTATAGGCATCGGCCGTGAATGCAGTCACTTTCTTCGGATAAAGTTATTAATTATTAGATAAGAAAATATCACTTACGAAATTCGTGCCAATATTTTAACTATACTTTTTTTCCCTCTTTGTTGACACTGTGGCCTTACAATGGTTATTTAATTTGCAATAATTTGCAAAAATTTTTATACTTTTGAAGGAGCATTTTAATGAAATACGTAACAACTAGTTCTATATTTGGGAAATAATTTGATCTTGGGAATTTGATTCTCAGGGAAATAAATAGTTGAGTTTTTTGTTTAGTGAATTGTCTGGAGGTATTCTATTTTTCTTGTGTTTTAGTATTTCTTAAATTTTCGAAAATACAGAAATAAAGGTCATCCAATATTATTGAATATATTTTACGACGTTTTTTTGTGTCATTTATAACGTATCTTAAACAATTCATGCAAAGAGAGTGCTCTGTCATTATTTCTAGAACTTATGAGTGAAAAGACGCACAAAACCAGGGGTGTTAAAAAAATTAATGGTTCGGAGAAACCAAACTTCATTGATAATAATGGTTACTAGCTAACTTCTGTTTTTCCCGGAATTAATGTTTTCACAATTTTTCTTGGGTGAAACGAAATATAAATACAATAGTATACAAAGTTGAGAAACACGTGTCAAATAATTTAATCGCCATGATGACATTGAGAGGGAATTTAAATAGCACGTCAAAGCATGTGACCATCATGCTTGCAACAGCAAATACAACTTTATATATTTCATCGTAATACATGCAACTGACAGGCAGCCTTCGTTTTTCTACGACTAATAGTTATCAGGAAATTAATGACAGGAAATTTGAATGGCCACGTCAATGTTAATTCATGCGCTTGCAAGGCAAATGTCATCGAGTAGAACATGGAGGGAGTATTTAATGTATAATATGTAGAAATGGGAAATCAGTTTCTTCTTTCAAGCATTTCATTTTTCTGCCGATTATTTCCGTTAATATGAATTATGAACAAAAATTGTCATCACAGGAAAAATAAAGTTGCTTTCTAAACTTATTCTTATAACTCGTGACTATACAAACTCTCGCTCAAAGACCACAAACGGCGTCCCAGCCGTTTCCAGTTGCGCAATCAATGACGGGGAACCTGGATGGGCGCGTGAGCAACCCTTCGGGGGCCCTCCGACCGTCGTCGCCGCCGCCGCCCCCCTCCGCGCGCCGCGAGGAAGGAGGGGCCGGGAGGACGGGGTGCGGCGGAAGAGACGGCGTCGCGAGGAATACATTTTCGACGAAATCGCTCGTAATGAACGTCAAGGGGGAGGGCGCCTGCTGGCGCACGCGCCCGCGATTGCGCCCCAGCGTACCACGCGCACCCACCCGCGCCTACCGAGCGATAATACGAACCGAGTCTCACGATGGGACGAGGGAAGAGGAGGCGCAGGGGATCGCACACTTGAGTGACCGAGTTGGCGCGTGCACGAAGTACGCAAGGTGTTGAGAGTGAGGCGCGAAGGGCGATGGGAGAGGCGACGGACGATGGCGTGGAACGGCGTCAAGAGACGAGAGGGCGTGGGCGAGGCTGTAGGAGTGGGGCGGAGGTGAGGGGCGTGGGACCCGACGGCGATGCGGCAACGACTGGACCGAGAGTCGAGCGAACCATAGGACGGCGTACGGCGGGTTAACGGGAGAACGCGAGGGACGTGGGTGCGAAGATCGATGGAGCCATGGCAGCGCGACTTCGCTGCGAGAGAGGGCGATTGGGTGGGTCGGCGAACATGGGCGGAAGAGGACCCGGGGGGAACGGGAAGACGTGGGAGAAGTTGATCTGCAGGAGCAGAAGGCGGGAGAAACAAAGAGTACAAACGAGATGTGGTATAATGCAGAATGAGGGTGATGAAAGAAGCGTGGCGAAAATGCTAGAGCCGCGAGGAGAGGAAGGAAGTAGAAGGAGATGGGGAAGGTTATTACGAGGACGCTAAGAGTCACAGATTCGTGGAAACACCATAAATGAGACACAGTATGAGGAGGAGGAGAGAGAAGGAGAGAGAGACATGCGGCCATAGACGAGGTGAGCAGGTGGCCCGAAGCAAGATAGCAGAGGCAAGAAAGCGGGAAGCGAGGCGTGGCGCTCGCAACGGCTCCCTGCGAAGACAAGGCCACACACAAATACTTAAAAAGATAATTGAGAGGCGATAGGGGCAGGGAGGGTGCGTCGCGGAGGGGAGGGAGGAAAGTTCGGCATCGGGTTGCTCACTTTGAGGGAGTATTTCTGGGTGAAAATCTATGCCGACTGCAAGTCGTGGATGCATACTGTAGGTAACGAGTAAATGGTAGACAAATCTGGTGGCTTATAAAATAAATGGCGAGCAATGATGAAGTCACATGAGTATTTCTAGCACGCCACCATCACTGCTGATGCATCTCAGCTCATAGGAGACCCGGTCATGAGGTGGCAGTGGGGGGAGGTGCCTTCACACCGGAACCATCCACTGCGGCAGCAGACGACACACGTCGCGCAGGAGTGACATGACAGCGCAGTTCGCGTCACGTGATGATGTGGGGGTGCGAACGTGTCGGCGAACCGAGCCCCGGTCGGAGTATGCCTACGAGGCGGCGGCGGCGGCGGCGGCGGCGGCGGCGGCGGCGGCGGGACAGAGGTGACGCGCCAGGTCGCTCTCTCACCGCACGTCGCCGG